AATGCAGGTCCTAGGTGTAGTTCGCCAAATAGACTATGAAAATAAGCAAATGATTTATGAACGAACCATTAATGTTTACAATGTGTATCTGTGTTGCATTGGGCTTTTCCAGAGCTACTTGTGGCCCAAGCTCCTTCTCTTCATGAGAGTCTCCTATGATACCCCTCTTTTCGCATCTACATAATATCTAACCAACTCCCAACTTGCTTTTATAAGAATGTTGACCTCCACCCAAACGGTTTTGTTTTCCTGATATGCATTATGAAAGCAGCCTTCCCTTGCTAGTGTATGCTCAATAATCTTTTGTATCCGTCCAAGGCGTTTACTTCGCTTCTCCAAATGACTCAACCTTCTCCGGCCATGCTCTCATCCTCGCCCATCCTCTTCACTTTTGTATCTCTCATGAGCTCCCGTTGAAACCCATGCGCGATAATCTCAATTCTATGTGCCGCTTTCCTCGCCTCCCCTACATGCTCCGCAGTTCTCGCTACAATTGTTCCCACTAATAATGGAGCCTGGACCCCCTCATCCCTTACATCATGGCGCTCTTGCTCAGAATGGCTTACTTCAGTCGTGCCACTTAACGGTCGCATTTCCTCTCGGGCTGCAGATAGAATTTCTAAACTCCGAATGTTCGATACCCCATTCAGGTTTTCTGATCCATTCATTCGAGTGTCGTGTGCGTTGGTATGTGTAGATCGGCTGCGATGACGAGTACTGGAGGTGGAATGGGGGGTAGAAGATGTAGGAGAAATAAAGGAATGGAGAAGGATGGGACCCGATGAGGCGGATTCAACAATTATTCGTTGCGGGGATCCGAGGTTGAGATGCAGCGAGGCATTGTATGCAGAGAGAGCGGTGGATGTTAAAGTTGTGAGGGATTGAAATTGAGGGGGTTTGGCGTGGGAGTTGGAGTTGGAGTTGGAGTTGGAGTTGGAGGGGTGGGAAGAGGAGGAAGTTGAGATGAGGGGGGTGAGTGATAAATCTGTTAAATGGAGGGAAAGATTGGGGTTGTGATTTGGATTGGGAGAGGGAGAAGAGGAGGAAGTCATTGTTGGTTGTGAGCGAATGTTGGTGGTACCCAAAGATATTGTGATGGATGGATGATAGATAGATAGATAATAGATAGTTATTTGGATAAATGGTTGTGTAACGTCAATTGTATTAATTGCATTATAAGAATTGTAAAGCCATACAAATGGAAATAGGAGAAGAGAATCCCAATCTACCAAAACAATCGAAGAATGATGACCAGAAAACAAGGCAAATGAGATGGAGATGATAATAAGATAGGAAATTGATGATCAACTGATAAAGGAAACAGCTTGGAAACAAGGCCTAGGGCGACCTGGGCATACGCTATCTACCTACTGAGCCTACCTAGGTATCGCTCAATCTTCAGTTGGTTCATTTGGGTATCCTTGTCGGTAAAGCGGGAGCTAAACTTAGCGTGATCCATGGCATGTGAAGGTTACGGAGGGACAATATTGCAAGCTGGTCTGAACATATCGCACATCCAATTTACATTGGACCTTTGGTTTGACATACTAAGCATTACACATTGATAGTTATTGACGCTGCGCACTTGATCAAAGAGTGAAGATATTCGGAAACTGCAGCTTAATCATTGGGTAACGAGGAATTCGACACGATACGGAAATAATTGAACATGGCGGACGCGGAGGAAAAGGCCAAGGCTGAAAAGCTGGCTGCGGCTAAGAAACGGGTATGTTGTTCTGTTTGTTGTGAGGGATGAGGGAGTGAGTTGATGCAGTGGGAGGGTTAGAGAGATGTATTGGGCGTTGATGATCGGGGGAGATGCTGAGGATAATTACTTACTGATGAGTGGCATTTAGGTTGAGGAAATGAAAAAGAAAAAGGCGAAGAAGGCAGGGGGGAAGAAAGAAGAGAAGGCGGGCGCGGTAGTTGAAGCTTCGAAGAGTGAGGAGGCGAAGGGCGAAGAGACGAAGAGTGAAGAAACGAAGAGCGAGGAGACCCACGAGACAACTGCTGCAGTACCATCCGAAGCTTCGACTGAAACACCACTCGAGGCTGCCGCCGAAACGCCAGTTGCCCAAGAAGATACACCAGTCGAGGATGAAAAGAAAGAGGAAAAGCCCGTAGAAGTTTCAGAGACTAAGGACGAGGAAGAGAAGGTAGCGGAACTCAATTCGGCTTCGAGACATGGAAGATCGCCGTCCTTATCGGTACAATCTAAGATGAGGTCATCGTCTTTTAGACAGGCTTCGGGACCCCTTTCACCGGAAATTGCTTTTAGTCCTAGTGGTGATACGGCGCCGGATATTTATAGAAAGCAAGCTTTAAGAATCGAGGATTTGGAGAAGGAGAATAAAAAATTGAGTAAAGAGGCGGTAGATGCAGAGAAGAGGTGGAAGAAGGCAGAGGAAGAATTGGAGGATTTAAGAGAGGCAGAGGGGGAATCTGCCAAAGGAGAAAAGGGTACTGAAAACGGGACTTCAGAGGAAATTGAGAAATTGGTAAGCTCTGGACCACAGCGCACGATTCAATCTGGGCTAATTGAATATCGCAGAAATCTGAAATCGCAGCGCTCCAACGACAAAACACACAACTTCAGGTTTCTTCCACCCGCAAACATGTATCTTCGCCTTCGACATCGGTGCCAGCACCATCGGAGTTGGAAGCCGAGCTTCGTTCCAAATCCTCGACGATCGAATCTATGGAAATTGAGATTTCTAATCTTAGAGCGCAGCTTGAACGTGTCGCATCTGGATCATCTGTGGAAAAAGAACAGATCGCCGCTCTGGAGGAAAAATTGGCAAGGAGTGAAAAGTTGGCTGCAAATGCGCAACGGGAATTGGGAGATCTGAAGAAGAACCTTGAACGAACGACTGAAAAGGCTGTTAAGGAAGGTAGCGAACGTATATCCGCAGAGACCAAATTACGCACGTTAGAAAGAGAAACAGAGGAGGCCAAGGCACACAGTGATGAACTTCAGAGGAAGGTAGAGGCACTTGAAAAGAAAGTATCTACACTTACGACGCTTCACAAAGAGCACGATGCCCGATCACAAGCTCAGAAGAAAGAACATGAAAGAGTGGAAAAAGAAGCATCAGATCTCCGAGCTCGATTCGCTACTGTCGAGAACGAGAATTCACGTCTCAAGGAAGAAAGGGAAAGATTGAAGAAACGAGATGCGCAAGGCATCGATGATGAAGGGGTTGATGAATTGGAAAACGAAGAGAGACAACGCTTGGAAAAGAAAGTCAGGGAATTGGAGGCGGAAGTTCATGAATTGAGAAGAGGCGTATGGAGAGATCGAAGAATCGAATTACAGGGTGAAGGGGACGATGGACTTACGAGTCCCAGCGCAAGATTCACAGATGTGGATTTAGGTGGAAGTGGAAGTCCTCATGCGAGAAAGAGTGGAGGTCCACAAGGAATGGGAATTGGGGATTATTTGACGAGTGGCTTTAATGCTATTACGGGAGGTACGGCACCGGTAGGACATGGACATGTACATGCAGGAGCGGATGAAGATGATGAATTGTTGGATGATGATGAATTCCTTGAATTCGACGAGGAAGCTTTCAGGAAGGCACAGCAGGAGGAGGCGATGAAGAGGATTGAGAGGGTGAAGGAGGTTAAGCGGGCGTTGAAGAATTGGGAGGGTTGGCGATTGGATCTCGTGGAGAATAGGAGTGCGGGTGGGGAGGGCGTGGGAGAGATTTTTGAGATTTAGAAAAAGGGTTTATGTATTTTGTTTTATTTATAAACCATGTGTTTGTTTGAGGCGAATGAATAATAAGCCTTGGAATGAAGTGATGAATGGGAATTGAAAATGGAAAATCTCAGATAGGATAGATGGTTGTTGGATGATTACTTGTGAGTGAATGTATCAATCAGTAGGAGTCGGTAGCTGAGGGTAGGTACCTACCTAGTAGGTATGGTATGGTATGATAATGCTATGCGAAATAAATGTAAGATCTTATATACATACCTCATTTGAACTCTGTGTGTGTGTGATAAATGCGAATTGAGGAATATGTGTTTTTCTATTTCTGTTTCTTGAAGCTTATGTATCGTATCATATGTGGGTATATATTGATTCTATGATTGACATATCTCATCTCATCTCATCTTTTGTTTTTGAATAAGCTGTAATCTCTGATTTCCTTATTTGACACTACCTACTGCCTAGGTAAGCTGCTTCCATCACAAGCCCATCTCAACTTCACTTTAGCTACCTAGGTAGAGAACTCCTGAGAAATCCAATCATCCTGCCTCCCTTCTATCCTCCATCCAATCTCGATATCCAATATCCAATATTCAATACCCAAGACCTCGAATCTAATTCCTAAAGCCAACTACCCTTTCATATCATATCACATCATAATATTTCCAAAGCAAAGCAAAACAAAAATAACATGCGCCGACCACCTGCATCCATAAAAAGGGGTATATCCTGAAGAATGAACAGTATTCTGTTCGCACCGTCCCATCCCATCCATCCCATCCCAATTCCTCGCCTTCCCAACCTTCCCATCATCAAGCCCCATTTCTACCACATCTTCTCTCCTTTCCATTTCTCTCCCCAACATTCGTAGATTTCGTTAAATGCTGCTTCAAGTCCATGATGATGCATGCGTTCATTGTATTCATAAAAAAGGCAAGTTCGTATTTTCTGCTCTGTGTTCTTTTTTCTGTTTCTGATTGCGTCTGTTTGTCGTTTCATTCCATTTCGTGTCATTTTCGTGAAGTCGTAGTACTGTATCTACCGTATATTTCGTAAAACTTCGTCATAAAAGCATTGTCCAAAGTCGTGTCCCGAATCATACTGTCCCTCGCAAGGGCATTGGTGTAGCGATTTAGATTCGTAATGTATCATGTATGTGCAACGATACTCAAAGCCTCTGGCTTCCTCCGTCTTCCCAATCAATAATGAATTCCAAGTGAAACATCCAGTGATTCTCTTTTGAGATAACTGAATCAGTCATTCTTGAGAACCCGAGTCAGTCCCCTTAAGGGAAATGAGCAAACTTTTCACTTCTCGGACTTCCAATCGAAGAACTTTGTTCCACTGATGCCCTCCTCTTGTGCATCAATGGACTACTCTGTAACTCACTCACAACTCCCAACCATCCACTCCTCTGTGGACTTCCGGTACCCTCATTATGTCCAATAGCATTGCTCGTGATTCTCCTTAGCGGCGGTGTACGTTTGAGATTCTCGCTCAAATTACTCGGAAGCGTCCTACTCCGAATAGGAGAGCCGAAGGTTTTATCCGCATCTTCCTTTTCTCTCTCTTTTTCCTTTTCTTTCTCCTTCAATACGACTTCCGTTTTCGCAGCCACCATTCCCAGATACACGACGAGGAAACGCATGCGCAATAGATCCAATTTACGCACTCGCTCTTCGAGATCCCGACGGGTCGTTCCCCATAATATCCGAGATCCGAGTTTTAACCTCTTGTGATCTTCTTTACTAACCATCTTATTCAAAAGCTCTCTTAAATCATCGCCGCATCTTTGGATTTCGCGTACCATGCCCGCTAATCGAAGTTTATCTTCGAGCTTGGAGATTCTGCTGATATCATGATCGTAAGAGGCGTTTTCTTGAACACTGGATTCGAGCACAGAGAGATAGGTGGTTAAGTCTTGAGGTGCGGTATTGTAGGCTGAGAGGTGGGTGAGGAGGGTTTGGACAAGAAGAGGAAGGGAAACAGCGGTCGCGGCGCAGGTGAGGAGAAGGGAAGTGGGCAGACTAGATTGGAGGGGGGACATTGGTGGGAGGGATTGGATTAATGGGTTGAGGGACATTTTGCTGGGGTGGCTGATGATGATGGTAATAAGGTGGTAGAGTGAGTTGTGCACATATTCAAATTTTGAGATAAGTATTGTCGCATTCGATCTAGATTGAGAGAGAGGTTGAGATGAAGAAGAAGGATGGTGAGGTAACAGAAATGAGATGAATAGATATGAGATGGGTGAATCATGAAGTGACCTCTCCCTTAGCCGGATATCTAGGATAATCAAGAGAGGCAAAAAGAAAAGAGGAATACTTGGTCCTGCGTACCTTGCCTAGGTGGTATTTTTCGCTCCGTACCACTTACTCACTTCCGCACATGTATGGAAACCAATCGATCAAAACGATTCAAAAACCAATGGATGGTGGGAGAATGAACCCTTGTACTTGCAGAATCATCACATGCGGCCTTTGAATTTTTGCAAGTTAACGGAGAGAACCTAGGTAAGGATCCTTGTGTGGTGGTGTGAGACGATGTAAGTGAGTGAGTGAGTTCTGTTGGGAACTGGAGGGAACTGGAGGGAACTGGGAGGAAAGGTCCAAGGTCAAAGGTCAAAGGTGTGTAATCTGATCAAGATCAGTCGTCAATCATCAATCATCATTCATCACTCATCACTCATCCTCATTTGGATTTTGATGATTGATATGCGATAAGAAAAAGGAAAATGTGACAATGCAACACAAATCAAGAAGTGGAGAGTTTTGTCAACATTTCGTCCCATTGTTGGCCAATTGAACCATGAATTCACCACGCGTGGGGTAGGTACATACAGTAAATTCATGTAAAGCACCATGACCTGCAGTAGAGAAAAATCCACATCTCTGAGTCAAATCCACTAATACACAACGACAATTCTTCTGCGACTTTGGTAGGAAAGTTTTAAGATCGGCACAGATTACTTTACTTCACTTCACTTCACTTCACTTCACTTCGGTCCAGTCCAGTCCAGTCCATTTCAATATCATAAAAAAGACAAACCATACCGTCGTCAACCATGGAAACTTCCAACCCAGAAATCTCCCCGCCTCCGTCTCTCCCCCAGCTCTTCACATACCCCTCTTCCACCCCACCCTCGCTCATCACCCAAGGTGCCGAAGCGCTCCTCTACAAATCCACATACTTACTGCCGTCTCTGCCCTGCGCACTAAAATGGCGCCCGTCGAAACCATATCGACATCCGATTCTGGATCAGCGACTGACGAAAGCGAGGATATTGGCAGAAGCGAGGGTGTTGGTCAAGTGTCGGAGGGAGGGCGTGGTTGTGCCGGCTGTATATGCGGTGGATGAGGGAAGGGGATGTATAATGGTCGAGTGGATTGAGGGGGAGGTGGTGAGGATTAGATTGAATGAGTGGCTGGAACGGAGGAAGCAGAAGGAAGGGAATAAGGAGGTTACTGGGGAGGAAGAGGGGACTGAAGATGCGGTGGACCTTATGAGGAGAATTGGACGGGCCGTGGGAAGGATGCATGGGGTCGGGGTTGTGCATGGAGATCTGACGACGAGTAATTTGATGTTGCGGCCAATACAAGTTGAAGGGGAGGAGATAAACAATGGGAAGGAATTAGAAGGGGAGATTGTTATAATTGATTTTGGATTGGCGAGCCAGACTACAGCAGATGAGGATCGAGCGGTCGACTTATATGTGTTAGAGAGAGCCTTTGGAAGTACTCATCCAAGGGCCGAGGGGTTGTTCAGAGAGGTCTTGAATGCGTATGGAACAAGTTATAAAGGAGCACAAGTGGTTTTGAAAAAGTTAGAGGATGTGAGAATGAGAGGGAGAAAAAGGAGTATGTTAGGTTGAAAATTTACAATCTACTTTTGATTCCATAATATATCCAATATTTGTATTAGAATTTCTTGATCTCTATCCATGTGCTTGTCTTCGTATCCATCAGCTATCCAAACACTACAATTTGTCCACCAGGTAATCTTGTTATTCCAAGTTGTTCCCGTTATTTCCAACACGCTATTGGAGCAGAAACCCGCAATTCGCCATTGCGCCAAAATTCAAACCCCCCGTTGTACTTTTGATGTTCACTCTCTCAATTCTGCCGAAGCGAAATATCCCTTATTTTCTATCACGCCACGATCACGGACAATTGCGGTATATTTGACCACCCATTCCGGCTTCAAGTCACCTTTCATACCATCAATTCCCCTCTTAGATTCTGACAGCACACCAGCGCCTCTGACTCCTTGTCCCAAAAGCTCCCGCAATGTTCCACTAGGCAATATATCGGTGCAATCATTGTGAGTATAAAGTTCGATATTCTCTTGTTTGGCGATCTTGAGCAAAGGCTGTGGAACTCTGCAACAATCTTTCACATTTATCTGATCGACTTGTGGTCGTACTCTGACGTTCCCTAGAAACTTAGCAAGTTTCGCTGTGCCAAATTCGGCCAACCCTAATTTCTTTACAATTCCTTGCTCATATAGTTCTTCCAATATAGGCCAGGTCCCAAGTTCTTCGGCTTCATTTCCTTGTTCCGAGTTCTTCTTGTCTGCTTCCCATTCGCAGTCGCCGTCAAAGGACATTCCAGGAAATGAAACGATTAGGAGATCAATTGACTCAACACCCAATTCTTTCATTACCAAATTTAGAGCATCTTTTGTATGTTTTGACCTTGACTTCACATCCGTATTGGCCATGTAGAACAATTTAACAGTAATTTCATAATTCTCGGGCTCTTCTGCGAGCCCAGATAGAGACCAGTCTATGGTGGGGATATAAAAGTCATTGTCTTGTCTAGTTGTCCAAATGGAAACTGGCGGACGGCTCGGTGATCTATTCTCTTCATCTGATTCATCGTGTCCATTGACTCCATTCGCATATGAAGGTGTGGGTGAATAGTCTTGCTGCGCAGCTAGAAAATTGCTCCGGAGGGAATTTGTGAGTTCAAGATTTGACCGGTCCGCGCCGGGTTTTCTAATAATGGAAGGACCTCCGACCATAATATTTCTGAAGACTCAGTCAGTCAACTGCTTTTTTGAGAGAAGGGTCGAGAAAAACGTACGACGTGGAAAGTATCAATCTAGTCATGATTGATTATATCGAATTTGACGGGAAAGTGGGATGCGAATTCCTCTGGATTGAGTGAGAAGAACACAGATATAATACAATTCTAATCGCACGGAATATAATATATTGTAATATAAGGAAAAGAAATCTAAGGGTTTAGGGAAAAGAGTGAATAGGACCGAAGAGAAATGTACGAGATAATAAAGGATAAAAAGGAAAAATTATATTATTCTATCAATACTGTCACAAGTGTTTGTCGGTACTTGCTCACTAATCCTTCACTTATCTGCCCCTCCGTCATTCTTTGTAAGCCGTTGCAAGCGCGGAGATTCCCCGAACTTTACTTGCACCCCTGCAAACAATTAACAAGGCTCCTCCTTTTGCCCAGACACGACACCCTCAAGGCTGAGATATCAATCTTCTCGAAAAACAATTATAATCATGGCCATTCAGTAAGTAATTGTTTGAAAAGATGATATGAAGATATTTGAATCAAGCTAACATCACGTAGCTATCTCATCCTGTTATCGCGGCAGGGTAAAGTTGTATGTACTTCTCCTTTCTCTGGATGAGAAGCAGCTCGAAACATACTCTAACTGTCCACAGAGACTCGCAAAATGGTTTACAACATTATCGCCAAAAGAGAAGGCGAAGATCATCAAAGATGTCTCTCAACTTGTGCTGGCACGTAGAACGAGAATGTGCAATTTCTTAGAGTACAAAGGTCAGAGTGGTTCTACAAAACCATATCTAGAGCTTCATGCTGATTACATCAATGGCAGATTCAAAGATAGTTTATCGACGATACGCTTCTCTCTTCTTCATCGCAGGTTGTGCTTCGACCGATAACGAACTCATAACTCTGGAAATTGTTCACCGCTATGTTGAGCAGATGGACAAGTACTACGGAAATGTCTGCGAGCTGGTAAACCTTACGTCTCAAGATGGAACGTGGCATATATACTAATATGGAGTCAGGATATTATTTTTAACTTTCAAAAAGCATATTTCATATTGGATGAGTTATTACTGGCGGGCGAAATGCAAGAGAGTAGTAAGAAGAACGTGCTTAGGGTCATATCAGCGCAAGACTCAATTGAAGATACGGAGGTGAGTGGTGAACATCAATTTAGGTCGTAGTAGTTATTCTGGGTATTCTTTCATTTTACAACCTCTTGAGGGACAACATCATTCAAACTCGAATTTCTTTCATGCTGATTGAAATTCCGCAATTCCAGGTCGACGAAGAAATTACCAAGCTTATGTGAATCGGTGCTTTTACACATGTATTACAGAAATATATGGGTGGATGGAGTCTGGCGCGAAAATATCATATACCACTTTCAAGCAATTTCAAGCGTTGTGCATGATTTCTAGTGATGGGTTTGTTTGCTAACTAGGTGATGGTTCCTCTCTCTAGGCCCAAGAAGAGGTGATAAGCGGACTTCGGGAGATCGGTCTGGCTTAATACCCCTTTTACAACTGCCGACCTGGAGTTGGGAATTCATGTGAATGGTACTGGCGTTCTTCTTAGGGTGTTTAATGGATGGTAAGATACCCAGGAGGAATCATGAGTTAGGTATGAACTACGAAATGGCGTTTGTGTAAGTTGAGCGTGGAATTAAATGCGCCGAGTTATTGGATTACCTCTAAGTTTTGACCCCTCTGAATGTTAATTGTAGTGACTCTTGCTTGGCATTATTCCGCTTTTCCTCTCGACTTGTCTCGAGCTTGTCTATTGCACTTGAGCTGCACTACTACTTGGCTCGTAAGCCAGGTCGTCACCCATGCTCACCATGATACTACTCATGTAGCCATTCATGTCTCACAGATTGACCATGCTGTTTGTTACTAACATGCAGAGAGTCGAAATTCCTGAAGAATGCTCGACATGTGACCGAGTTCTCCGAGAGGCAAATTCTTGATTACGTGATATTATATGTCATCAGGTAAAACCCCTTTACGAAGTGAAGGCTGCAAACGTGCTTGATTCT